TGTGGGAGGCCTTGCTGAGCTAAGCACAGTCTGTTTCATCATGCCTCTGCTGGAAGCTTTCTGGAGCTGTGTTGTTGTGAATTCACCCTGTGCCTTGACGACGCATCTCAAGGCCAATTGTCTTCCTGTCCTTGCTGCCTGCCCAAGGCCATGTCAGCCATCCTCTGCCCACCCCTGGTTGCTGCCTGTTAATACTTTGAGCCTCAATGCATGTTAGGAACATGGGATCACAGAATGCCAGAGTTAGAAAGGGTCTTAGAAGTTACTAAGTCAAGTCCCTCTATATCAGAGGTGGGAAAACAGAAATGCAGTGTATAATGAGGATGATGATGATCATAATATCTCATTTTACAGATAGCAAAATGGAGATTAAGTGACTTATCCAGGGTCACACAGCTAAGTGTCTGAGATAGAATCTGAACGCAGTTGTTCCAGAGTCAAGGTTCTCCCTGTTGGTAGAGGGATAAGCAATTCCACCCAACAGGCATTGCCAGAGAAGCAGCAATGTCTGTGACATCCTCTGTGCACAGAAAGCACCTTGAGGAATGGCCCTTTCCCTCCAGGAGCGAAGTCTCCCAGCTGAGACTGTGAGCTCAAGCAGGGACACCAGTGTCTCCACCACATACTAGGCTGTGATCGGGACAATCAAGGAGGTACCAAGTGCTTGGTTCTAGTCAGATTCCAGGAGGTGCTAAAGAAAGATTAGCCTGCAGGAGGCTATTTCAGTCAGTCAGTCAATAAACATTTATTAAGCTCCAGAGTACTGAGCTTGGAATTAGGAAGACTCATCCTCACGAGTTCTAATCCCACCTCAGAAACTTGCTAGCTGTGTGACCCTAGGCAAGTCACTTCACTCTGTTTGCCTCAGTTTCCTCACCTGTAAAATGAGCTGGAAAAAAGAAATGGCAAACCACTCCAGTACCTTTGCCAAGAAAATCTCAAAGGGGACATGACTGAAACTACTCAACAGCAATAAACGTATGCCAGTCACTGTGCCAAGCCTGGGGTGACAAAGAAAGACACAAGGCAGTGCCTGCCCTCAAGGAGCTGCCAGTCTCCACTCTTGTCTGCAAGTAGAACCAGAAGAACCTTGAAAGAAGACGAGGAATTGTCAGAAATCAATGTACACCCCTCCCCCCACATGCTTAAGGCTATGATGATTTGAAAGTTTCTTTGAAACGTATGCCCTGGGATCCCTGCCATCCTGGGCTGACTTGCCATGAATATTCTTATCAATGACTTTATAACTTACCTTATAAAACATCATACCAGTGTGATCCTGGTCAAGTCACCTCAGCTTTACATGCCTCAGTTTCCTCTTCTAAAAAAAGGGGATAACAGTAGCACCTATCTTATAGGGTCTTTGTGAAGATCGGATGATATACATGTGCAAAGTAGTTTGCAAACCTTAAAGTGTTACAGAAATGCTGAAAGCATAAATTACACATATATGTAATATTATGTGTATACACACATATAAGTGTGTATACATATACATACATATAAAATGTGTCAATAATACAAAGCTGGAAGGCATATCTACCATGTTGGAAAATGGAATCAGGATCCAAAAAATATCTCCAAAAGCTGCACCATTTAGTGGAATTAAATCAGGTTAAATTTAATATGACAAATGTAAAGACCTACACTTGGATTCAAAACAGTAATTGTACAAATGCAGGCTAGGGAAAGCATGGCCAGATCACAATTTGACGTTATCTGCATCCAGAGAAAGAACTAATAAATAGAAATATATATAGAATGATTTTATATATACATATGTGTGTGTGTGTGTGTGTACACATACTTATACATGTGTACGTATGTATTGATTAGTATTTAGATAGATAGGTATATAAATACATTTTATATATGTATATATAGACATAGTTGTTTCAAATGATAGTCATCTCTGGTGGAGAGGGGGGAGAGAGAAGAGAAGCAAAAAATTTTAAAAAAGTTACATGATAACTTTCTTACATATTTGAAAAGAATAGCAAGGTGTACATAATAGATTTGCAGTTTCATATGCAATCATCTTTTTTATTCTACTATGTTTTGGTAATGCTTGTCTTATTTCTTAAGATTGGAATAAAATAAATAAAATTTAAAAAGAGATTTGGGGCTTTTAATGGGCTGCAAGTTCAATATTGAGCCAACTAGGTGGAGTCAGGAAACTCAGGAAGACCTGAGTTTCAATCTGGCTTCATACGTCATGTGACTATAGGCAACTCACTTGATCTTTCTCTATTTGTGCTGGTTTCCTCAGGTGTAAAATAGTAGTATCACCTATCTCACAGGGTTGTTATGGAGATCAAATAAGATAATATTTGTAAAAAGCACAGCACAGTGCCTAGCACACAGTAGGGGCTTCATAAATGCTTATTCCCTTCCCTTCCCTTTAGTCAGCCCCTAAGTAGCTGGGTGGCGAAGTGGATTGAGTGCTAGACCTGGGATCAAGAAGACCCAACTGGCCTCAGACACCTACCAGTTTTGTGACCTTGCACAAGTCACTTAACCTCTCTCTGCTTCAGTTTCCTCCTCTGTAAGATGTGGATTATAACAGCACCTAGCTCCCAGAGTTGTTGTGAGGCTCAAATAAGGTCTTATTTGTAAAGTGCTTTGCAAACCTTTACTAGATATCTATGTTAGTGATGATTCACCAGCAATGTAAAATGGTGCTCACAAAAGTGGTCTCGATGAAGCTGCATTTCCAAGACAGACATGGTATCTAGAATAAAAGGAGCAATTGCCCTTGGCCTCTACTTGGTCACAGTGACTCTAGACTAGGGATCACATTCTAGGAAATTGGAACTTATCCAGAGGATGGTTGCCAGAATGGTGAGGGAACAGAATTCTTCATTAGACAAAGTTCAGTTAAAAGAACATTGAACTGGATTCTTAACATCTTTTTTCAAGGAAATAATGCTGAATTTTTCATAGAAATTGAATCAGTGATTCCTGCTAACAGTGAATTTTTTGTCATGCATTTAATAAAGAGGTTGAAACATAGCAAATATCATGTAGCTATTACCTTGAGCCAGGTCTACAGGCGAACTTTTGTGTTAAATTTGTTGGTAGCCTGAAGAAGAAAAGACATAGGGGAGAAGATGAAAGCTATCTTCAAGTGATGGAATTTAATTTCTCAGTCTCAGAGAGCAGAAGTAGGGCTATAGGGAAGTAGGTTTTGGTTTGATACCAAGAACACCTTCCTACCAGTTGGAGCTGGCCAAAAGTCTGATTAGGCATGGTTTGGCAGGTGGCTGGTTTCCCCTCACTAGGAGTCTTCAAATAGGGGCCATATATAAATATTTGTTGGGAATCCTACAGAAGAGATTCCTGTTCAGGCATGGGTAAGCTAAATGATCTGTGAAACTATTTCCACATGTGAGAGTCTGTAATTATATCTGTCATAAAAAGCAAAACCTTTGCCTCTATGTCTAAATAAAGAAAGCGTCTTTGGTAGATACAAGCAGCCACATTTTATTTCAGTAACAATTACTCTAGTGAGTCAAGCAGTGAAGTTTACTGAAATTCTCCCAAGCACACAACCTTGGACTAGATGTATGGGTGCTTTGGGTCTGGGTCTCTGCCGCATCAACTGTTTTCATCAAGTCAGGGGTCTACTCTGTTGAAGATGGCAAAGTAAATTTTTCACATTTAAAAAGGCAAAGAATTTGGCTTTCTGGCAGCATAATCTCATTGTATTTGTCATTGTTCCACTTGGTATCCTTAGAAAAACTTGTGCATTTGGACCAGATGGCTGTTGTGCTCTTTAAATTCTCAAATTCCAAGATTCTCTGATTTTAATTCATTTTCTCATCTCTAAAATGAAGGTGGTTATGAGAATGAGGATATCAAAACATTCGTATTTTGTATTTCCATCACTTCTGGACCATATGACCACAGGAAGGTAACTCTGAACAGCCCCATTTTTAAGACTTCTCAATAATTTCTAATGCCTGCGATTCATTTGTTCTCACCCAGAAAGTCTTTCTGGAAGTATCACAATTGGTTTTGTCTTAGCTCTTCATTTGGGGCATTCACTTTATCTCCTGAAAGCAACTGATGCTACTTAACTGCACCACTTGAACTTACAGTTAATTGATTACAGTTGATTAAGCAGCCACGAAGGGGACTCCAATCCAGTTACCAAGGAAACAGCTAGTGCCTACTTCCTGGTCAATAACACGCAGTACTGAGAATTCTAAGATGGACAACTACTAGAGACCATAGAAATCACCTAGCCCAACCTCCCAGTGATCCAGGAGCCCCTTCTCCAACACTACTGACAGGTGGTTTTGAACACTGTCACTTCACCTAACTCTGAAGCAAAGCTACGGAAACTTGCTGATATACATGCAATACTTGAGTAGAATGGTGCAAATATTTCTCCAGAGAGAAGGGAATAAGTATTTATATGACCTACTATGTGTCAGATACTGCACTAAACACTTTACAATTATTTTGTCATTCATTCCTTGCAGCAACTGTGGGAGAGAGGTACCATTTTACAGATAAGGAAACTGAGACAGAGTTTAAGTGATTTGCCCAGGGTCACACAGCTAGTACGCATCAGGCTGGATTTGAATTCAGGTCTTCCTGATTCCAGCTCTCTATCTACAGCTCTTTTTTCTTTGTCTCTCTCTCTCTATATATATATCTCCTCTATCTCTGTCTACTACTTTCTATCTCTATCACCTAACTGCCTCTTCTGAAGCTTCTTTGTTGTGAGTTGCTGCTGAAGCCTCTGTTGACATGACATGGGTAACAAAGGGAGGAAATCCATTCTGTAATCCAGTACTTAGCACATGGCTGCTATGAGTAGGGGCTTAATAAACGTTTATTGACTCAGATGGCAGCAAATATTTCAGTACTTTGGGTTCAGGCATGACCTTGTGATTCTACTAAATCCACCAACATTTTCTCCAAATTCTGAGCTGAACAGCTGCTCCAGGGGCTTTTCTAACCCTTCTCATTCATCTTTCTTATCCTTCTAGGGTTTTTCCATTTATTCCTGAGGTTCCTCCTGCAATTAAAAGCCACTACGAAGGACCACCAAGATGGCAGGAGCCTCAGTAAAGGTGGCAGTGCGAGTACGCCCCTTTAACTCCCGAGAAATGAGCCGGGACTCAAAATGTATCATCCAGATGACCGGAAGCACCACAAGTGAGTACTGGCCCACCTGGGGCTCCTTTCCTTTCTCTGATGAGTGTTCCACAAGCATTGGATGAAACTCATCTTGTGTATGACTGGTCGTTGGCAGAGGCGACCAAGAGTTTAGGTTTCAGAGGGACAGCTTTCCTGTCCTTGGCTTGGTGACTCTCCCCACCTGCTCCCTGCCCCCATCTCTAGCTCAGGTTCCAGAACAGAAGTGAAGCTCTGGCTCATTCTCACTTAACCAATGCAATGGGGGGAGCAGAAATCAATTACATTATTAGAATCAGTGGTTAATCCCCAAACTTTATCAGATGACTTGATTTACACTATGCCTCATTCACACACACACATATTCACACAGACATACACACTCACACTTGCACTCACTCTCACAAACATACCTTCTCACACGTGTACGTACACTCACACATATATAGCCGTCCTCATGCACATATATACATCCTCACAAATTCATTCACATCCTCACACGTACACCATCTGCTTCCTCTCACCTATCTGTAAACCATCAAACTTCAAACAAAGACAGGGACCAGCCCTAGAGAGAAACAAAGATGGCCTTTCACTTCAAGACTCGGTTAGCTTTCCCTTCAGGCTTCTCCTATACTCTCCAATCCCTCTCCCAGGGCCATATTAGGTAGTCATCAAATGAAATAATATTTGTGAAGTGCTTACTCCAGTGCCCGGCACGTAGTAGGTGCTTAATAAATGTTTGTTCCCTTCTTCTATAAGATGTAATTTTAGGATGCTTGGAAGGAACCCCCTATTCCAAGTATATCACTGCTATTATTCCTTGATGGCTGAGATCCCCCTAGCAGGGCTGAGACCGCTTCATCTTATCCAGGAGAAGAAAGGCATGCTGCCCTGTAACTGGGGAAGCAACACTTTGCAGCTGGGAGTTGAGGAATCCTCAGATTAGTAAAATAGAAAGGCGAGACTCAAGCTCCCTGAATCAGCCCATAGGCCCAGTGCTAGTGACTAGACTGCAAGGTCCCTGGGGCAGCAATCATTTCACTTTCCATCTTTGGTCCCTAATAACTAGTGAAGTACCCGGCACAGAGCAGACGCTTAATAAATTCTTGTCAGACTGATGTTATTGTCTTGCCAATGCGTGGAATTCAGATGGTGGGAAGCACAAACCACAGAGTATGAGGCAGAAGTGCTGCCGCGATGCTCATAACCAGGAAGGAAGAAAGAAGCCCTTCTCTCCATAGTCACTAGTCTGGCTGTCAGCCAGAGACCCACAGTGGCAAAGCAGAGAAAAGTCAGGAAGAACAGGACGGAGGAAGGCTATGAAGGAGGAAGAAAGACATTTGGTGGGCCCCTCGGCCACTAGGGATGGCAGGAGAGACAAGTGAACTCAATGATCAGAGAAAGGGTCTCTCTACCAACCCTTTAGCAGTTTCTTCAGATAAAGCAAGAAACTTGGGGCAATTATTCTGAATTTGATGAAATCTGAAACTCCACCATGAGCTGGGAAAGAGCCTTCAATGGGCTGAAGTGAAGGTGGGAGAATTAACGATTCCTCCAATCCTTTGCTCTCATTCCCCCACTACCTTCTGTGGCATTGGAACATGACTTCTTTCACCATGGGAAGCCCAAAGGCTGACATTTTCCGAAGTCCTCCAAAATTCAATGTGATTGATTCTGTGAATGATGTGGGGAGGGCAGTACAGGATGTTAGAGTAGCGGTGAGAAGAAGACGCTGGGTGCTTCGGAAAGGGAAAATCAGTAATTCCTTTGTGACTCACAGGACAGAAAGCTCCTGGGGAGCCACTGTTTTTTCCTTTTAGCTAGGCAATGGGGTTAAATGACTTGCCCAGGGTCACACAGCTAGTTAGTGTTATGTGTCTGAGGCCGGATTTGAACTCAGGTCCTCCTGAATCCAGGGCCGGCGCTCTATCCACTGCGTCACCTAGCTGCCCCCTGGTGAGTCACTTTTATCCTGTTGAGTGGGTGATCCCAATGGTCACACAGCCCCAGGGATGGAAACATGTCACATCAGAACACTAGAATGTCAAGAATGTCAAGGATGTACGAAGTTGCTTAGTCCAGCTGGTTCACAGATGAAGAGAATGAGATGCAGATGTGTTGAGTGACTTGTCCCAGGCAGTGACAGGTAGAATCAGGGCTTGAACCCAGGTTCTCTGATTCCAAATCCAGGGTTCTTTCCACAACACCACGCTGTGCTGTATATTCTTAACCTTTAACCAATGGTACTGGAGAGGAAGGTAGGTCAGATAGAGACAGAGAGGCAGAGACAGAGACCCTGGAGCTTATGTGGCTTTTGAGAAGAATGGAAGAAGCGCTTCCAAGGAGCTTTCCTGGCTTTGTTTGCATGGCTGAACTGTGGCATCTTGTACCAAAATCTGGAAACAACCAGCACTAGGGATTTTCTTTGAGAGGCTACACATTTCCTGGAAGGAGAGGGGCTCTGACATTCTCATGTCAGGCTCAGGCTAAAAGCTGAATGCAGGCCCCTGACTTTAACCACAGAGGCTCTGTTCCTGTGAGATCCAGAAGAACATCGGTGCTCTTATCAGGCAGGCTGTGAACCTTACATTCAGTCACTGATGGGGACACGTGAAGGTGGAGTGGAAAGCCACAGTAAGTTCATTCTAAGCAGCCCTTGTTAGCTATTCTCCAGCCCTAGCTTTGGGTCTGTTGTTTCTATATTTTGAGCCTTGGTTCAGAAATACAAATTCCATTCTCAGACACCACCTTCCTAACCAGCTGCTCTTTTCCCAAATAATTTTTTTTTCTCTTCTCTATCCCTTTCCTTCAATGGGAAGCAGTGATGAAAATACCATCTGTGCCCCTGTGGTCTTCCGTTTGGTGCCCGAGACTTCATAATCTTTGGCAATGATCTCTGGATTCCTTCTGGCAGGATCATTTGTGCCCATATGAATCAACAGAAGTAGGTGGGAGTAGTCATCTGTTCAGAGAAATCTTGGGAAGTTCTCACTTATATCTTCTCTCTGAGCTTCATTTTCCATATTTATAAGTGCCCATAATGATTCCAATAGTGCCAACTGAAGAGGGTTGTTAGGAGAGTCAAATTAAATAGTGTATGTGCACTGTGTCAAGCTTACAGGGCTCCTGGCAGAATATCAGGGTAGGAAAGGGCCTCAGAGGTCAGCCAGTCCAATCCCTACCTAAAGAAGAGCCCTCACCTGCGATGAGTCTCACTTAGCTTCTCCTGTAGATGTCAGCTAGTAATATATAGGCTGAAATGGGGGTCATGGAAAGATCATGGAAGGATTCGAGCCAGGAGGGATCTCTGAGGTCATTTAATCCACTCCAAGAAACTGAGACCCCCAAAAGTGAGGTGACTTATCCAAGGTTACACATTGAGTAGCAAGGATGGATTCACACAGAGGGCTTTTTGATTCCAGGTTCAGATTTCTTTTTGTTATGGTGCCAGCTTCATTCCTGACCCCAGTGACTGTGAACTCCTTGATAGCAGGGGCTAGCTGCTTGCTTCTTTCCTTCTGCTCCCCCTCATATTCACCACCACTTCTCCCCTACTGCTCTGCACATGGAATTGCCTAAGCTTGTTTGCTGAATGATGAGTGAATGAGCCTGCTTTTCTTCTCTTCCAAGGAGCTGCCCCCAAGGAGCTTACAATCTAATAGGGGAAGGAATACACAAAAGGAAGTTAAAAAGGGCAAAGTTGCCAGAGGAACCCGGCATGGTGTTGGTAGAGTCAAAAGCAAGCAAGGTGTCTGAATCCAGAGTAGAGAAGGGACCTGCAGACTCTGTCAGAGTCTGCTTCTGGGTCTTGTGGGATGGACTATAGGGAGCAGAGCCATATCTGGGGACTCTTGTAACCAGAGCGAGGAGCACAAATATGCTCGCTGTTCATTTTGAAGAAGGCCAGCAGTGGAGACCTGGAACACATGAGGCTACTGCTGCTGGGGAGGCCAAAGTGGCGGGGGGCAGATCTAAGGAGGAGCTGAGCTGGTCCTGGGCTCTTCCCTGGCTGGTAGCTTCTGATTTTAACTGACAGTTCTCATGAGCTGGTACTAAGCTCTGTTGTTCCCACCCTGCTAAAGGACTCTTGGCATCATGAGTGTCCTCTAAAATGTGGCCACCTGCAGCATTGCCCTGGTGGCATTGCCCTAGTTGTGTCTCTGCAGGAGAGAGGAATGAAGGCAGGGGGTGAGAGAGATAATTTCATAGCCCTCCCTTATTCCCCGGAGCTTGAAACCTGCCTCAGATCTGCCCAGACTGTCAGACATAGATCCAAATGGCCTGATTCCTTCAGGACTTCTCTAAATATAGATCCAGCTTAGGCCAAGCATGGTCAGATCCACTGAATCTGCGACCTTGAACTGGAAGGGTCCTCACGAGCCACTGAGTCCAGCTCCCTCCTTTTCTAGAGGAATACGCCGAGGCTGGGAGTGGGGGGATGAAGTGCCTTGCCCATGGTCACACAGGCAAGGGAAACACTAAGCGTTTATGCGGCACCTGCTGTGTTCCAGACACTGTGTGAAGTGCTTCATGATTCTTAGCTAACAGCCCTGGGAGGGAGGCGCTGTTATTATCCCCCTTTTCCAGTTGAGGAAACTAAGGTTGAATGGCTTGCCCAAAGTCACACAGCTGGTAAGTGCCTGGGGCCAGATTTGGACTCAGGTCTTCCTGACTCCAAGCATAGTGCTCTATCCATTGTACCACTAGCCCCCTCCAGAGTCACACAGTAAGTGGCTGGGATGAGATTTGAACCCAGATCCTTCGACTCCAAATACAGTGTCCTTTTCACACTCCCATGTTGCCTCATTGCCTTTACCAGATCTGGTCTCCTCCTGACTTCCCTATTTCTCTCGGTAGCAGCACCACCTTTGAGCTCCTCGGAACCATCTTTTGTTTCTTCTCCTAAGCCCCCACACTGAGTCGGTCACTGAGTCACGACGCTTCTCCTTCCACTGTGCCCCGCATAGACATCTCCTCCTTTTCATCGCCATGATTCTGAACCTTCTCAACTTGCCCCT